GCCCCATTAAAAAAATATTTTAAACAAAATTTTATTCTCTTCAACTTGTATAATAAATGCAAATACGATAGGAGGCAGAGAAAAGATGATATTCTCAAAAAATTGATTTTTGCGACCTTTGACCTTAAATATCTAAGGCCGCTCACACGTTGGCATATGTGACTTTTGAGACAACATTTGCAATGCTAAAATAAAGGTTTGTACAAAAATTCAGCTTATTCCATTAGATTCCGAGGTGAAATGCCTAGATGACTGGACTATAAAATGTTATCATCGCGAACATATTAAATTCAAGCCCGCGGTCCGTTTCTACTCCTAAACATTCAGTTGGGACTTCTTAGGAAGTACAGGTTAATTTGGTAGACTGTTAAATACCAACATTTATTTATACTATAGATCTATAGTACATCGATGTGCTGAATTGTTTATAAACAATTCAGTACATCGATGTACTATAGTGTCCTAAAAGCTACATGGTCTTAATAAAATAACTTTGAGTAAACTCAACGCATTTTCTTGCATTATCGAATTTCTTGCCTAGTAATAAATTTGGTTTTGGAAACAGACAAAACTCACCATGGACCACTCAGAACCGTATAGAGGCTAGCAAAGCCGTGGAATCCACAAGATGATAAGACTTTAGGCGCATTATCGTCTAAAGAAGTCAGTTCGTTTAAAAATTCGTTCCAATTATTTACCAAGTTCAAATTAAAACTTGATGCAAAGGTGTTATTAATTTTTTTCTGTTATTTTTTATGTTTACGATGAGCACAAAAAGAAACTTTTAACAAATACATACTCATCCGGATCGGATGCTTTTTTGACAAACTGTAATTCAACTTCGGGACCTAACTAGCATTTTGAAAATTTTACAAAAGTTAAGTTAATTTGCTAAAAACAGTAATAAGTGTTATTTATTTATTTATCATTATTTATCAACCATTGTAAGTTAATTCGAACAAATCTATTTTGTGGGTTAGGCCACTTCGTGATATGGCCGAAGATATGCGAGTAGTTTATCACGTGCGTATAAAAATAGAATTTAATCATTGATTGAGTAAGTCGTATAAAAGATACTGAATATAGATTAGCTCACTTTAAGAAAGCATCAGGTGGTTGATTAGTTATATGGATACCCTATTTTATAAACCCAAGGTTTAAAAAAACCTAAATCTTAATGATATTATCCCAATTGCAGCTTGATTTGAAATGAATAACAATATCTAAAAAAAATATTACATGAATACTTTGTGTACCAGTATACATAAAAGTTACTCTTTTAGTTTGACCCTTACTTCCTAAGATTCTCATTAACCATGGCTTGTCTTGGTTAGGGGTAGGAACGGACCGCGGGCTTGAATTTGATATGTTCGCGATGATAACATTATATAAGACTAAATAAAGTATTTATAAGAAAATTTAACTTTAAAACCATTTATGGAATTGGAATCAAAATACAACTTGAATCAATATATAACTTGCAAAGACAACATCCCAAAGGCTTTGCGTGTTTGGTAACTGGATTATTCTTATCACGAATTGACAATAAGTAAACCACCAACGAAACTTTTAATCGATCAAACATTCAGCCAAACAGACAAATTAATCTTAAAAACCCATCGTATTTTACGATGGCCCACCCTATTCAAGTTGACGTAGGTAAGACAGTCATCATGAGGAAGGTGACCTTAATTAATTAATTTAGTGTGTTTATCATTTAAAGATTATTTGTGCTTCTTTAAAATTAACATGCTTTTTATTTTAAATGATGCAATTTAAATATAATTAACAGAAAGTACTTATGAACATAATATATAATATTATAGGGGTTTAGTTTTAAGCCAACCGATAAAGTTAAAATCAATTAAAACAAAATAACTATATTTGTCTTGTTTGTTCAATAGATGAAAATTAAAATCATAGAATCATAGAATATATTTTTCTAAATTATTCATATATTTTTTCTGATTAATGTCATACGCAAAATTTATGTGTAAGTAATACGATCAAAATCTAAAAGATCTAAAAACTTTAGAATTTTTTTTGCATTACTTCTTTTTATTTATTAAATTATTATTTTATGTATTTTATATTCACAAAACTTGAATTAAAATTTGTGTAAAAAATCCAGATGTAACAGTATTTAAAAAAACAATTAATTTACATTAATTAATTAATTAACTCACCAATGTCAAGTAAATTTTCAAATTTCTTTAGCTATTTTTTTATAAAGGGTATTGGTTTAAAAGCGATGAAAAATGGTAACGACAGGTATTGAATTTAATTTAAAATATATGTATTCATTATGAAGAATGGTCCATGACAATATGCATTGAATGAGATTTTAGGCATTTGGCTCCCTTGTTTTTTTTTAACAAAGCCAATCCGAAAATACAATTTTGGCCTACTTTTCGTAAATTGTGTGCTCTCTCACCAGCAACGCGCTTAATATAGGCTTTTAAGTCCTGAATAGTTTTCGTTTTATTAGCATACACCAAATACTTTGCGTAACGTGATCTCGGGGTCCAAGACACTTTTTCATTTCTTGTTTATTTGATTCCTCAATAAGTCAATGATTTCTTAGACAGTATGGCACAGATACTAGTCTTTGGTATGACACGTGACTTTATACTGCTGAAACCATCATCATATTATCAAAGAAATAATCACTGATCATTCTCCTATTATGTTGGATATTGACCAGCCTCAGACTCATTAAAAAAAATTGTACCGATAATGTCACCGCAAAAGACCACAGTACACAGCGTACTTTTGTGGATGTAATTGAGTATTTTTTTGACATTTTCTATACATGTACTGTGTCCACAGAAATAAAAATATTATTGTCATTGTTATTATTATTTTGCAGCTTTTTGTCATGCAAAGTGTGTGCATGTGTGGTGCAAAATTAACCTACAATACTACAAATAGCCAGCTCAGTTTTATTATGTGGACCATACAAATAGGGATTGCAATCCAGCAGGGTTTTTAATCCAGCTGGATTTTTGCTAGATCAACATCAATCCATCGCGGATCCAGCAACTTATAAATTTTTAATGAAAATTCAAAAAAATATTATATAGCTATTTACATACCATGGGAGGAAAATAGTGCTTTTCCTCCCGCGAATAGTTTGATGCCCGACGCGAAGCGAAGGGCATTAAATATCCAAGGGACAAACGCATTTTGCTCCTGAGGTATGTATATAGTTTTTTCTATTACCTTTTAACAGTTTTAAGACATTTTAAGCGTTCCGGTTCCTTTTACTAACCCGGTATAGGGCTATAAAATTATGACAAAATATTAAGTAGGTGGTGCGTCGCCGACAACGCTTTGTGGCTAGGGTATTTTTGGTAATAACAACATAACAGTTTTTATAAGCTGTCAGAATGTTTATCATAAATTTGAAATTCTTCCTACGTTTTGAAAATGAGTTCTAGCGAAGAAGACCTACCGCAAGATCTTGCTAAACAGGAAAGAATAGTTGCAACTAATTTCCTTCCTTAAAAATCGAAAGAGCGATATAAAAATGAATAACTATAGTTTGTTAAAAGAATGGTTGGACAAGCGCGGAGTAAATCTTTTTCCTACAAAATCAAATAGGACTAGACAAGGTACAAAAACTCTTGATAATGTAAAATTGTTAAAAAAAAAAGAGGGAGGGGATTAAGTCTTGTAGTAAGGTAGTAGAAAAAACATTTATTTTACCAATTTTCATGTTTTGTTAATTTTTAAACCAACTGCATATCAGGGTTTTTTGATAAATTAGTTAAAAAACTGATTAGCTAGCTATGCTATAGTAAATTACTATTAGTAATATGTAAACCTAAATAAATAAATACAAAAATAAATATTAAATATTATTTTTACGGGACTGAAAAACTTTAATGATGAATAGTATATTATACTACAAGGGCAGAAAGTGTGAGATTCCTGCACTGCGCGCCATGATGCCCGAGGCGAAGCCGAGGGCATCATGGCGCGCAGTTCAGGACTCTCACACTTTCTGCTCGTGTAGTGTATACTATTTTTCTTACTACCTCGGCCGAAAATACAACCCGGCCGAAAATACGGGAAAAAATTAAATGTGTATTTATGTACCTATCTCCATTTGAAGAGCTTGATAAATAAATAACAGTAGGCCGTGAATTCAGCGGTGTCAATACAGTAAAAATAAAAGGTTGTATTTTAATTAACAAATTACTAGGTACTTTATAACAAATAAAAGTACCATTAAACACTTAAAACAACATAAAAAGTAAAAAAGTAAAAACATAAATTGTTTATTTGTTGTTATAATTGCAAAATTATGGTTTAAAACTGTCATATTTTTGTGTTTCTCATGTTGGCAGTACGAAATTTGAATGTTAAGCACACGACTAAAAAAATTTTACTCCCGCTATTAGAGTGTGCGCGTATAGCTTGACCAATGCAAGAAACGTAAACTTTCTGCCGTGAAATCGGGGACGAAACAGCGTATTTTGAGTCGAGGTAGTAAGAAAAAATATTTTACTATTTCGTATATTTAAATTTTTAGTACATTTATCCTCCCTTTAGCAGTTAGTGGCAACCATACAAGCCACTTGCAATAAGGTCGTTAAACGAGTAAAAATACGAACGATTTTGACCCATAATAGCTTTTTACACCGTGCGCAAAGCTCACTGGCTTCTATAGATGCCACTTCCCTATTCCCGCCAAATTAAAATATAAGTGGCTTCTATGTGTGCCACTAACCATTGCAAGCCGTTGCCTATTTTCCAGAGCAAGGGTAGTACATTTACGTTATATTGTGCTGTGTAAAAGTGTGTTATATTAGAACAATTGTAAGTATTATTTTAATTGCTTTAATAATATAAGATTTAGTTTTTGTTGAATTTTAATAAAACAATATATGCGCTAAGGAAATACAACGATTATTATAGAGTATTTGTCCCAGTTTTTAAGGTTATTTTTCGTTTTCTCAGAACCGGACTTAATGACATTTAATTTTTTGCAGAAAATGAATTCAAATCGAGACAAAATTAATATTGAGGAACTAGAACGCCTATCTGCTAATAAAGTGTACGACTTTATTGATGGTGTTACTAATGATATGGCTCAACAATCCGACGTTGGGGGGGATAGCGATGCCGAAGACACTGTTTTGGTATCAATACCTGGTAGTCCTGGTACATCTTGTTCCTCTATTGTTTTAACACCTGACCCATCTATTTCTTCTATACCTGGCCCCTCCACTTCTTCCAGGCGAAGTGTAAGAAATAAAAAGTTAATAGATTTTGAAAACCAATTATCAGATTTTGACTCGGATGACTCACTTGCGGACAAGAACTACGTTCCTGAAAAAAAAAGACTCAAAAAGGCGGCTATCTTCATATTCCTCCAGCTCAGATGATGCCAATCAGGAAGATTTTGGTTTGCCAGAAGTGGAGGTCTCACGGATGGAAAGCCTATTTTCAGATGAATTTCAAATAGAAGACGTACCCGAAAACGAAGAAGAAGTTCTACCTGACATTAATTCATCTACCGATTTCCCAATGAAATGGACGAAAAACCTAAGATTCCAGGAAAAATTCAAAAACTTCAATTTTTCACAAAATTTTGGATCAAAATTTCCTAACATAAATGACGCAACACCTTTGCAAATATTTAAACAGTTTTTTTCGGACAATATACTAAATAAGATTATTGAAGAAACCAATCTGTATGCCAGTCAAAATAAGCATAATTTTTTTATTGAAATAGACGAACTACAAGCTTTTTTTGGAATCCTTATAATAATGGGATTTCATCAACTTCCTGGGATGAGGATGTATTGGTCATATGACAAAAATTTCAGAGTTGAAAGAATAGCAGGAATTATGAGCCTAAAACGCTTTTTAGCGATTCTACGTCACATTCACTTGAATGATAATGAAAAGTGTCCAAAAAAAGGTTCAAACAACTTTGATAGACTATATAAATTGAGGCCGCTTATCGACCACCTAAATAAAACATTTAAAGATTTGTTTTTACCATCTAGAGAGCTTTCAATAGATGAGAGCATGGTAGGCTTTAAGGGGCGCTCAAGTTTGAAGCAATATATGCCCATGAAGCCAATCAAAAGGGGCTTTAAAATTTGGGTTATGACATGTGCACGAACAGGTTATATGCTATCATTTAAAGTCTATGAAGGAAAGGAAACCAGTCATATTGAGGGTACACTGGGTGAAAGAACTGTATTACATTTAAGTGAGCCATACCATTCAAAAGGTTATGTTTTATACTTTGATAATTTTTTTTCTACAATTGAATTGCTCTCCAATTTGCTGCAGAAAAATACCTTCGCCTGCGGTACTTTCAGAATAAATAGGAAGCATTATCCCAAAAATCATTTACTAAATGATAAGCAATTGAAATTGGGAGAATCAGATTTTGTAGGAGAAGAGAGTACTGGAATTTCAGTTTGCAAATGGCATGATAGAGGCAAAAAATGTGTAGTTGTAATCAGTTCCCTTCATGACCCTTCCATAAAAGTTAATGTTGATCGAACAAATAAAGAAGGAAAAAAGAGAAAGCGCCCTGTCCACAATCAGTAGCTGAATATAACAAATTTATGGGCGGAGTTGATCTTTTTGATCAATACCTTGCTTCCTACTCCATCTCGTGGAAAAGTCGTAAATGGTGGATGAAAATTTTTATGTACCTCTTAGACTGTGCAATTGTTAACGCATATATAGCCTATAAAACATCAATGGGTGCTGATAGAAAAAAAGCTATGTCTCATTTACAATTTAGAACAATACTGGCTAATGAACTAATTGGTGACTTTTTCGGTAGAAAACGTAGAGGTGCACCAACTACTACTAGCAAAAATAAAATGCGTAAAGTTGGGGGACGCTCTATTTCCACCAATAATGTGACAAGAAAAACGAATGTTGGGGTGCATTTACCAGTAAAGGGGAAATATAGGCGATGCGCACGTTGCTCCACCAAAACAAATGTCAAAAGATCAAAAATAACATGTAGTGAGTGTAATGTTGGTCTTTGTTTAGAATGTTTCGCAGAATTTCATAAGAAAGGGTAGATTTTTACTTAACGCTTATTTAGTTTGTATTAGTACATAAACATATTATGTTTGCAAATTTTACGTTTTCGTTTGTTTCATTTTTAAATAAATATTCTTTGGTAAAATGTTTGTGTTTTCTTTACAAAATAAGTGGCTATATGGCTAGCCACCAAACAATAAGTGTTTTTGGTTTATGAAAACGTTTAGTGGCACATATAAAAGCCACCTCAAAAAAAATCTTCTAGCGAAAATATAATCATAATTTATTATTTTTTGTCAATTAATATTTCATTTCGACCAGATTTTATTTTAAAATCCGAGAAAAATAAGAAAAAATAATTTGCCCGTTAAAGGGTTAAACCCCATAATATAATTTGAATTATATCTACTGGACAATTAAATATTTGTACAACTGATTTTTACTTTGTAAAGATTATAAGATAATTATGTTTCTTATTTTTTATAATAATTATTATTACAAGTTTTGTGTTTTTTTCCCAATGTATAACTACTGTAATGTAATGTTTAAAAATAAATTAAAATTAAAATTCAGTCACTGTTAAAAAGTTATTCCTATTTAAATATCTATTAGTCTTAAAAACACCCTTTATATGGGCGCAAAATACTAATAAATAATTAAAACAATAAAAAATATTAAAGTTACCTCTTTTAAATTAAACCCAGTCTGTACTTTTTCTTATGAGTATCAAATAATATCCCTATAAAATTAAGTCTGCGACTTGAATAAATAAAATAGTTTAATGAACAAAAAGTAGTAGAGCTCTGGATTATGAGAAAGTGACAATCTGTTTTAACTTTAAAAGTTTGTATTTTCCAGGTAGAAATTTTAATGAATTATAATTATAAAAATAGGATTTATCACTTAGAAAGAAAACTTAATTTATTATAACTTACAAAACTATTTCGTACTATAAAATTACATTGAAGTCAAATGTAATTATGATGATTATTACATTATAATACGAATAAATTTAAATGAAAATGCTGTTTTATCTCAAGCGTTTTTTATTATTTTCAACGCTTAGTACTAATGAGATTGATTTTCGCCTAGGCTGTAAAAAACCCGTTTGGACCAACCCCACTTTCTACATTTTGTATGGTTTAACAAATTAAAAATGTGCGTTAAAGATAAAATGTTGTATTACATTCGACTGACAAGTATGTTTTTTGCTTTGAGGCTAGCTCAGCCTAATGACATAAATAACTATTATTCGTATGTAAAAGATTTCCATTATGTTTCAAAGGTTTAAAACAATATTTCAGTTAAATTGTAAACGACTGTTAAAGATTAAATATCCTTTATGTACAAATGGAACCACATAAAGCCCGGTCTACAACTGTCGCAGAATGTATCTTTTATGGCTTATGTCTTACGTCAACCAATCACAGTGCTTAATATGTCCATTTTAAGCACTTTGATTGGTTGACGTAAGTCATAGTCTAAGATCCCAAGTAAGGTCGACCTTCACCCATCTGCTTACCAGATGAAAATTATATTTTATCAAATAAAATATGTTTCTGAACATAAACCAATAGGGTTGCCATAAAAAATATGATCAAGGCTAGCTATAATAAATAAAAAATTAAAAAAAAAAAATTATTTTTTTAAATTTCACCGACTTGCTTGCCAAATGAACGAAATTCCAATGGAAAGCATACAACATACATAATATGTAACAGCTAGGTTGCCTACCTTTTTCTGGTCCCTATTACCTGGTTGCTTTGTACAGGGTGATCCCCTATAATGTCGCCCCCCTTTAACTTTTTTATTTTAAGTGTCCCAAAAAATTTAAAAGTGTGGTTATATAGGAACTAAAAAATACTTTTTTTCTACGTATAAAGAAAATTGGAAAAGTGATCAGTATACAGGGAAAACAAAAAGTTTATTTTTTTCAATGGATCACCCTATATATGAATTTATTTTTCGATTCCTTGTAAAATTCTAAGCATATTTCATATATCATACCATATATCTAAATTCAACCGTTTCTGAAATATTTAAATTATTTTTAAGATAATAAGTTGAAATAGTTTGTCTTTCTCTGTCTGAGTACGCCATTTTTACTTATTTAACAACACTTATTGACATAATGTCACTATAGTAATTTATTTTCAATAAAAATTTTGGTATACTGAGGCTTCTTGATTTCTAACAGTTTAAAAAAACATTTAATGATGACATTTCGAATGCGAATATTTCAGAAACAGTTGAATTTAGGTATATGGTTTGTTATATAAATTATGCTCAGAATTTTACAAGGAATCGAAAAATAAATTCATATATACGGTGATCCATTGAAAAAAAATAAACTTTTTGTTTTTCCCTGTATACTGATCAATTTTCCAATTTTCTTTATACGTAGAAAAAAAGTATTTTTTAGTACCTACATAACCAAACTTTTAATTTTTTTGGGACACTTAAAATAAAAAAGTTAAAGGGGGGCGACATTATAGGGGATCACCCTGTACAAAGCAACCAGGTAATAGGGACCAGAAAAAGGTAGGCAACCTAGCTGTTACATATTCTGTATGTTGTATGCTTTCCATTGGAATTTCGTTCATTTGGCAAGCAAGTCGGGGATATTTAAAAAATTAATTATTTTTTTTTAATTTTTTATTTATTATAGCTAGCCTTGATCATATTTTTTATGGCAACCCTATTGGTTTATGTTCAGAAACATATTTTATTTGATAAAATATAATTTTCATCTGGTAAGCAGATGGGTGAAGGTCGACCTTACTTGGGATCCTCTACTATCATAAGTAGTAAAAGATACATTCTGCGATAATTAAAGACCGGGCTTTACAAAAATGATTATATTATTGATTTTTAGGTTATTTACTTTTGTTGTAGTATTTTTGGATTAAAGATCAAAATTTAAAAAATGTGAAGATAAATTTAGGTCAATTTATTCATGACAAAAGGCAATCTAAAATAATATAACCAATAGATAAAATCAATCTTATATCTTATAATCTATAAATTAATTGAAAAAAAGTTGCGCATCTTGTAAGTGACGGTCATAATTTGAAAATTAAGTTACAATATAATTTTATCTTCCATTGAAGATTCACTTAACGGTTTTATTCAGCAGATGCTTACAATTATTTGCACTGAATTGTATACAGAAAAGTGCCATTTTTAGAATAAACAATTTATAAATTGTTTATTCTAAAAATGGCACTTTTCTGGGGTGTATCATATTAGGTTATCTGATTTAACCCCATTCCATTTGTCATCCAATGGGGTTAAATCCATCAGGAAAATTTAGAATTAGTACAGACTTGCATATGAACCTATGTCCGTTAGTTATGGGCTATAACTT